CTTTTCAAGAAATCAAAGGGGTATCTCAAGGACTCGTCAGGATTCCTTTAGAAATCAGTAACCTTTGTAGAAGTCATTTTTCGATTTAGAACTTTCCTGATCAAATATTTATACGCCTCATTGCATTTAAAAATGAAATGGCAAATTATTTTTCTTTTTTCAATTCCCATAAAATAGCTGAGTACCCAAAGTTGTTTGAATAAACATTAGGTGTTTTTTGTATTTTCTAAAGCTTCCAGTAACCGCAGTTAATCTTTAGAAATTGATTTTGCTTGTAGTCTTTACAATAACCTGTACTTAATTGCAATTACTAATCAAAAAAACAAAAGGAGAGCATTCAAGATGCTGAGTGGCCAAGAGAAGATACGTCGGAATTTTAAAACGCGGTTTGAACTCTACAATTAGAATCTTCGAGTTTATTTAAGCCCTTAATTACCACGTTCAATATTCATTAAATCTTCGAACGATAAATCTGCATGAGTTTTAAAAAGTACAAAAATCTACTCTAAATTTTGCTGATTTGTAGTCGCATGTATATCTAGTGAAACCAACTCTATTATACAAACAGATTGCGAATTTTATTACTTTCTATTTGTAGAAAAATGTTCTTCTATTTTTGAATTTAATTTCATCAACTTCTCAAAAAATTATCAAATTATCCACCATTGGCTTTTGCACATATGTGCATATATGTTTACATCTGCTCACGGCCAGGGTCAACGTCATTATCGAGTTCCTTGGTTGATTTCCCATAACTTGTGTAAGAAAAGCTTTTCACGAAAAATCAATATTACAAAGTTACAGATATGTATTAGATATAATAGACTAACTTCGCCCTTCAAATGATGCGCGCTTGTCACTTAATACTTTACGTTGAGGCAGAAGTGGTAATGCTTTTATAGACATTTGAAAGAACCACTGTACAATATTAGATTCTTTCTCCGAAAGTACAATTTTTCCTGATTTGAGATACAAAAGCGCAGCATAACCTTCCAGATATGTATTACTAATACTGTCGACAAATTATATATAATTAATTATAAGGAAAGCATTGATAAAAATGGCTTTAATATAACGGACCAATCTTTTTATCACGTTCTTTGGATCTACTCCAACTCATAGGTATTTGAGAGAGAACATAGTTAGAAAGAATTGAGTTCAATGTGATAAAAACTTCGTACATTTTACCTACTTACTAAACGTAGCAGCGCAAGAAGCTCTTCTAAAACTTTTCCAATTTTTAAGCCATTTACATAAACGATCATTGTAATTTTACACCTTAGCAGAGAATCGACACGACACCGCGATATTTACTCCTTGATTTATAAACTGATCTTCAATTTGCATACAGTGCTAACTACGTAGCTAAACATAAATTTCGTTTCGTTTATCACGGGATTACGTTTAAATGCATATATGTAAACAAAAACTTATCAATATTAAGAGAACTCTCTGAGGTAAATGGAATTTAAAATGTTAAAAGTTACTATTTTATCTTCTTTGATAAGTTTCTTGGAATTTCGGAAATTCTTTTGTTAAAATTAGCTTTTATTCATGACACGTGTCTTCAACTGTATGAAAATTTGATGAGCTTTAGAGTTTAAAATTCTAAAGGTTAAACACGTGTGTGGTTAAAGGAGACGAGCAAAAGCAGATTTCATTTAAACAAAAATTAGAAACCAATACATATTATATTTAACAACTTTTCCCCATTTAGCATTGTCAAAGGCTTTCTCTTAGATCTACGAATCCTCCTATCTACTCAGTCATTCCATTTCCTATCGTTTTCTCTATTATTACCATGGCCCCACAGGTCTCTCTATTTCTTTTAAACCCAAATTAGTCTTCCCCTGATAAACAATTATTCCATCTTTAATTTCACGATTCTAGTTAAGATTTTTGACACAGGAACTTAAGCTAATTATTCTAAATTTCTCGCATCTATCTACGTCTCTTTTTTTGAATAATTACTACCATGTTTTGCTTATAGTCCTCCAGGATTATCCCAATATTACATAACATACGATCTCTAACCTATTAGCTTGCATGTTTCAATATTTTCGCCTGTACCCCAACCACACCTAATGCCTTAGTATTCTCTTAAGTTTTTTATCCGCCATTTTCTCATTTTCTATCAAAATGACTCCTGCCTCGTTCCTTAATTTGTTAGTACAGTACCTTACTTATCTAAAATCCCTGCTAATAATATTATAGATCTCATCAATTTTATCTGCATTAAACTTTTTGACGTGACAACGTCTTATAATTCGATGGAGCCGGCTGCTCGCACGAAAAAACATGACCCATGAGAGCGCGGAACGAGCGACAAAGAGGCACAATCGGCCTCCGCGTTCGGCAGCGTTCGACATCTGTCTCTTTCCTACTTGAGTGAACGATGCGTCCGCGTGGACAGCTGCTATACAATAATACATTTCCATTTACCTCCTTCTCTATATCCATACAAAATACCTATCAAAGAAATAAAATTAAAATTTTCTTTTGAAAAATAAAACCATTCCATCAGTATTTTCTTATGACGTTGTCACGTTCAACTATCGTCAGTAAACCGACTTTACAGACAACCGATTTTTTTTCTTCCTTTTTTACACTTCATATTAATGCAGTATGTGTTTCACTGTGCTCAATCGCCACTAGATATCGAGTTCTCATGAAATTACTGAAAACATTCTGCTTATTTAACCGCACTCCTGTAATTTCATTATCAATTAACTTTTCACGATTGTTTCATTCGAAACTGCAGTTTGAAATCGTGTTTTGTTCTCATTTTATCGGGAAAATTTCCGTCGTAATTAAAATTAAACTCAACTTATTAATTCCTCGTTCTCGAGTTTTACAAGTTATACGTGAGTATTACTCATTTGTTTATTTAACGAACATTCCACTGATTTGTTAGCCATTGTCTAATATTATCGGTTGTTTTATGGAGGTTTCTGCTAAGACTTTCTATTTACGCGCAAAATTTTCTCAGTACAATTCAACCATTCTATAGCACTCGAATAAAATATAACCACCGCGAAAAATAATACACAAATGCCACTACAAAGGCACCTGAAATATCACAGCAGTCGCACTCGTTGAATGTCAAGTCCCAAAACGAAACGTTATTTTAACGATTGTGATGTGCAAGAGATAGAAACGGCGCGGTGATTGAATGTAATTTACAGGGCATTAAAACCACTATAACTTGTAATTGCGCCATCCAAACTACAGCAATCACTGTTCAATTTTAACGCTTTACTTCTCGTACAACAAATCCGCGCAGTGCGCTTTAAAACAAGCACTTAATACTAATTAAAAGAGTATCTTGCTTGTTATATTTTTAAATAAAAAAGAAAGTTGTAGCTTCAACTATTTTATATTCATGGAGAACCAGGTTTTCGCGGCTTCGCTCGCGTTTATATCCTAAATACGTATTAAAGATAATCGACGATCATATAAAAGTAATTTTTCCATCCCTGAGGAACAGTGCGTTTTTTCTGGATAAGAGGTACCCTATATCCATTTCTGTACCCCAGAAAATATGTGTACAAAATTTCAGGATGATCGGTTAAGTAGTTAAGGCGTGAAATCGTAACAAACATACATGCTGGCCTGCTTTGGGTCTGAAGGCAGTCGTCGGGTGTTTCGGAGTTTAGCTAGCGAACATTTTCAGACGTCTTTGCTGGATGTGGATCGATCGATATATCGATAAGTATCGATAAATATCAATATAACGATAATTATCGATAACAATATTAGCAACTGATAACTGTCGATATACCGATAACTATCGATACCTGCTTCGATATATCGAAAACTGCCGATGTCTCCTTCGATATATCGAAAACTATCGGTATATAGGATTCAAAACTTCTAAGGGGTGTTTTGTTTCGTTCAAAACAGTTCAAGTAAAAAAGGAAAAAATTGCCGACAATTAAATGAGTAACATTCTATGTGTGATAAACAAGTACCATTGACTGTAGTACCTTAGAGGGAACAATAGAATTTTTTTTTATCTCCAAATGTAGGTATTAAATTTTGTCGCGCCCATTTGATGAAGAATAAATTGAAGAGCAGACAAGACAACATCTCTCCGACGCCAACGTTTCTCTAATTTATCCGTAGCCGAAACGAAATCTGACTTCTCCGGTTTGCGAACGAGCAGCGTGACGTATCGGACCAAGTTTCTAAACTCATTATTCATTTACCGTAACGCCGAAAAGTTTCGAAAACGAAGCAATCTTGAAACACGACAGTTTACGCGCTTGCTCGCGCGCGCTCAGTTTCATACCCCAATCCCAAACCTTTGCATGGTCGCAGATTTAAAAAAAAAAAAGGAAAACGTAATTAATCGTTTAATGCCTGCGCGTTTGATTAATGACTCGCCAAAGTAAAAAAAAAGTGAAACATGAGGGAGAAATTTTAAATATTAATTAGAAGCGAGTTCCCCGTAAACTCTGAAACGGTGTTAACGCTGTTCCGGAAAATGTTATCGAAAATGCCAAAACCGTCTACATACATTAACTAAATCGCTTATCGATTATGACAGCGTTACAAAAAATCCTGATAATAGTGATAAAATATTTTCATAAAACGCCAGCGTTATATGAATGAGATTTTAATTTGCTAAAGAATACTTTATACGAAGCAGCAAATGTACTTTTAATGAGCGATTATTTATTCTAGATCGATTACAACCCATCAAAAATAATTGAAAATTATCTGAATGTAAAAAAAACTAAGAAAACCCTGAACAGTTATTACTTGGAGTATGTATAGGTACATATACTGATAAAATTAAATGATACATCCCAAGTAAAGAAATATTGTAGTGCCTACTTATTATTTGAAATCCTCTTGGATGCTGATTTTTTTGAGAAAGTGCTAACAAATCTATTAGCAAGATATAATAAATAATACGGTATTAGTAATTCGCTCGCGATCAGATCCAATGCCAGAATCAATGCATCAATTGAAAAATAATTTCAAAATGAACTCACCTGGACTTGTCTGCCAACTCAGCCCCCCGATAAACATTTTTCTGAAAAAAAGACAAATATTGTAATTATTTCAAAAGGAATCATCAAAAACTTTATACATAATTGTCTTACTCTGCATACCAAAAAAATAAATGATCATTATCGAAATTTTTAGTTATCTATATTTTCTGATACCACAGCAATACTATGCACACTAAATTGCCTTTCATTACTCCGAAGAAACGTTATAATAAAGTAATGCTGTGTACTAAATTATTTAACCCTTTTTTTGCGGCGATTATGGAAAATTACCTATACAAGTACCTACCAACATTTTGTCAAGAAACACCACTAAAAATATCAGTACATGTTTATACAATATCTGCAGTTTATTTTATCAATAACTCATGTTAATCCGTACTTTCTCAAGATGAGGAGTAACTTAATAAAACCACATCATCATTATCATCATCATAAGGTTATCACTCCTAAGACTGATTGGATACGCACCTCCACTCCTTCCTATCCTGAGCTAATCTTCGCATTTCCCTAAAACTAGAACATCCCACATCCTTAACTATTTGCGAACAGTAATCTAATCTACGTCTACTTCTACATCTTTTCTTTTCCTCAGCGCCCACCGTCCATATTTCGCACCCGTACAGCGCCGTATTTCAAACATATACCTCAAACAATCTTTTTCGAATTTATAAATTAACCGTACGTGAGCATTCCTTTCACTAAAGACGACTCGACCCTGCGCTTTCCTCTGGTTTATATCCCTACTACTTTTTCCGTCCTGACTTATCTGACTTCCTATACACCTAAAATCAGGCACTTCTAATCTTTCGTTTCCTATCTTTATATTCGCTCTTTGCCTACTTTTTCTTCACTTGCCTCGTTTCTTATATTATTACTCCTGTACCCTACTTCTCTGAAATTCCTTTTAGTTATAAACTTCATCCGTTTTATCTACTTCTCTACACATTATATCAACCCACTGTTCCTTAGATGTTCTACACTTCCTAATTATTTCCCACTTTAATATTTTTTTGACCTTCTTCGCCTGTCTTGTTTTTTTTTTTTTGGTATTTCTGCCTCTCTTCTATTAATCCTGCAATCTCGTTTGTTATCAAGGGTTTTCTACGTACGTTCCATCGTCTTACCATCCATCATGGTCGATGGTAACTACAAAGTGCCGATGAGATCTAAAGAGTTCATAATCGTAGTCCATATTCAACAATGAACTTGAAATTAATTACACTATTTTGCCCTTGTCCGGCATTATTTTTGATGAATAGTGAAGTTTCAATAAACTTCTCCGACAAACGCATTTACTTTCTGTGGTTCTTTTCGAAATCTATTTAATGCCCGTAAAATAATGACCGCAATGAAAACACTTTCTGTATACTTATACATTTAGCACAAATAGATCCTTAATTCGCATAATATCTTTCATAAATTACACGGCGTCATGTATCGAATAATTACGCCATTTATCGCGTCTCTTGGGAATATAATCATGATTGATGACTCAAAACATTTGGAACGACGATAGACATCCGCCTATTTACTTTATCAGTGCATCTTTCATTCTTTAATCCTCTTATATTTACCACGATATCAGGGGTGTGATGTCATAAAAGTTCTCATTACGTAAAAGAGTAGATAAATTGCTATACTACTTGTATATATTCATCTAATTTTGTCGAAAATCAAACCTCAATGCGCCTTCCTTATCAGTTATTATCTAGACGTCGCAAAACATAATCTTATTATCATTAGGTTGAAGTTTGACTAGCTGCTCAAAATACAGAATTAGTGGATTTATACCATAACACCTAAAGGTATCTTAGATCTATCTGTATGTTATACAGGAGGTCATTATTTCGATATTAAATGTACTACTTTGAAACAAATGATAGTAATTGACATGATAATTGCTGAAAGTAAGATATCGGGATAATTTGAACATATCTTTTATTAACAATTAAAAATGTCTGGGATTAAAGCTATTTCTGAAAAAATAAGGAAATCATAACGCTTGCACGTTTGAGAGGAATATTTGTTGCACAAATCGTCGATAATATTTATTTACCAATTAATTCCACGTCATTATACATGAAAAATTTCCAAGCGCCTCTCCACCTGTCCTCAAATAGGGAAGAAATCACGGAGAATCTACCAGTCTACTTCACATGTATGCTCTTTTGTACATATAGGGTTGTTCATATTTAGGGTTCATGTCGGAGTGACGCCGAGACGTGCATTTTCTTCATATTGTTCGACGCATTCCCTGACACACCCTGAGGTGTATTCGACGATATTCTGTATCTAATTCTAGGCTTATCGTTTGTTTTCCTCGATTTTAGCAACCCTTGACCTATTTTTGAAAGCAAGAGCTGCCACAACATGGTAATACGGTATTATCACAATAAAAACGTGTAATATCCCGTTGATTTTCTTGAATTGTGGCCAAGTACACCCGGATTTCATGATATACGAACGTTGTCGGAAAATTATAAGATTGAGATAACCGGCAAATGTCACATAAACTTAAGGCGTTAATGTTTTAAATTTCGATATCAACACGTCGTCAACACTCCACATACATGGATACATTGTAGTACACATGTGTGTGTTCGTATACGTATAAATGTTTCTGATAAATGTGACCGTTGCTGTATAACATGTGCCAAAAAGTAAATCTTCGCTACTTGATATCATCCACAATGAAATATTTAAAGTAAGAGCAATTTTAAGTTCACTGTACTCATATTACATAAGAATTTTCCAACTGTAATTCAGATGGTTAAGTGCATTTATACACAAATAGGATAATGTAGTACTAGGAAATATTGTAAAGTGTGTTACAAATGTTTTAGCGAAAATGGGAAAACCTAAAGTTAGACATTTTAAGAAAATGAAGATGCAGTTGTCAAGAACTGGACCATGCATGAACAATTTTTGCATGACTGAATTCTCATTATTCAATCTCTATCGATAGGATGTTTTTTTAAACCTAGTTTAACTTTAGACATGAGTAAATACCACAAAAATTAAAATCTATTTTAATTGGAAAAATAAAAACCGAAAATTTATGGGTGTATCAGCTTTTATCTCACCGGACTATAATGCAGGCTATGGGTTAGGAATCGTGAATATGTGTGAGAAAGATGAAGTGGACAAAATAAAAGGCAAAAAAGAAATGAAAGAATATTATTACTGCACCAACATTTGCCTAAGTGATCCAAAGAAATCACAGAAAAACTTAGACCAGGGAGACGAACCTGGAATCGAACCGGAGGCTGTGTGCTCTCAAACTTTTCACGTAATAAGGAAATCCCATTGCATCTATGTTTCGCTTAGATTAGCATTCATGTTTTGAAAGAAATATTCATTGACAATAGTTCAGTTTTACGTGTAATTCTCCTTTTCTATTGAATGCTCTTTTCGGGCAGAAATGAAGTGCTTTTCCTGGATCGATTGATCTCGTACACTTGGAGAATACAAAGTCCGAAAGAGATTAATTTACTACGGATTAATAAAGCCCCATCGTTTCAGCGATAAGTATAGATATAGACATCAGAAAGAAAATATCAGAAATCGTTCTGGGGAGTTCTTCAACTGAGCAATCGCTAAATTAATTTCTACCGAAGGTAACTTTTTATCACGATACGAACTACCAAGGCTTAATAGATATCCATAGGGTGGACTTCTTGTAATCTCTTAAAAACAATAGGAAACAAAATTCAGGAAAATTGGCAATCTTCAGCTAGAAGTCTCTGAACGAGTATAAAAAATGTAATTTAATAAATCCAACATTTTTATTACTGTAAAAAACTAATGTAATTAATGAAAATTTCATTTTCTAACTCCTAAATTTGCAATTATTCTTTTTAAGGATAAGAAAATGATAGGATACACAGAAAACATGCTTAACGATGTTGTCCAACATTTTCAAATTAATGAACACAACTGTCTGAAAATCAATATAAATGTCGCCTTATCTAAGAAAACTATAATTAAAAACAGAATATTTTAAATGAGTATTAGACGGCGTAGCAGCCAATTATTTTTTTTATGTTTTAAACGAACTTCACTAAGAAAATCAATACATATCTCTAGACATCCTTAAGCTAATTAATTTTTAAATCAAAACGAAACGAAACTGAGTTTTATCCTGATATACATCTTTTAGATATGTAGCATTTCTCAATAATCTCTATCAACAAGAGTTTAAAAAAAACTTTGACTGACCAGTGAAATATAAATGAAGTGGTAGTATGTCGCAATCCAGTGGCGTGGCGGCTCTTAACGAAATAAAAGATTATTAATTATTTTTTGAAAGTTAATTTTAATCATGCGGTCTTTCAACGAAGGAAACTTGTTTAGAACCTTCTCGATGAAGCTAATAAATTTTCAATGCAAAGCATCGATCAACAAATAAAAACACACCAATTTGCCGAGTTGAATAAATCTTTATGCTAAAAAATGGATGTAAAGCGAAGCGATACGCATTCCGAACTGCATCGTGCGGCCCAGTTCAATAATGTAAAGGATACCATCCAAGTATAGTACCAGCCGACCCTGTCGCAATCGGTACATGTACTGTATGCTGATGACAACCAAAAGGTTCAAAATCGATATCCACACGTGGTAGTTTCCGTAAATTGTAGATCAAGAACTCAATAATTCTTTTAAAAAAAAATACACTTTTCAAATAATATTCATCTATCCGATTATTAGCAACAATTTTATAAGCTTTCAGTTAAATTATAGCGATAATAGTAATGTTGAACCAGGGTTTACAATATACATAAACACCAAGGCAGTAAAATTAACTGGTAGGTACATACTTCACATTTATTTGAATCATTGGCTAGCTATTCCATACGATATTTGAATAATTGCAGCAGTTTGAGTTTAAAATACACCTTACAAAAGTTAATTTAAGCGCCTTCCGGTTAAACTCGGCAAGTTTATCGTTGTTGCTACAGATACAAGAAGAATACCAGAAGGAAATTACACGTTTTAACAGTTCAGCTCGTTTTATGTAACTTGAATGGCATTAGATTTGTCCCCGACACGCTTAATACACATGCTATCGAAGTAAACCGTAAAACACTTAAACTACGTCAAACTAATTAGCTGGTGCCTACGAGTCAAACATGGAAATTGAAATCTTGAAAGGAAAACAAAAGAACTGATTTTATTGTCAAGAGTTATTACCTAACGTGTATAACTAAATATATATGAAATAAATAGATAAATAACATATTAATCAATTATTTAATTAATGGTAGAATGCTTTACTTGTTGAAACTCTATAGTCGATTAAAGAAAACGAAAGTAAAGTTTCAAAAAAATATATATTCATAGTTCACAAGATATCTTCACCTGAAGAAATCAATGTTTTAGTGTTTTTGAAACTTTACTTTCGTTTCATTTAATTAAATAACATATTGGTGGTGTTAACATTCTAAAGATTAGTGCTCACATAGGGAATAGGTAAAAATCTACCCCAAAGTTGCTAAATCCCGGTACACATTTGCTGCAAAAGTTATTGGCACGCTGCTTCATTTCATTCTGCGCAATTCTAATGCAAAATTTCAAGCAAATAAGGTGATAGGCTAAAGCGATAATTTCTCATTTGTAATCAATCGAGATGGTCGCACACGCAAGAAAGTTTTTTCTTCATAATTCATATAACGCAGCGGCAGGTGTGCACTCCTCAAGAGACAAGTAAGTGCTGCTAGGGTATCGTCGTCGTAGACGGATAAGATGCGCGTTTCACAAATATCTGCGTCCACCACGATACCCATCAATAACGACGTTGTCATCACATCTGAATCCATACGTAAGTTACTTTGCATTTATTCTTAATCGATTAAAAATGACGCAGCGTACCGATGACTTTTGCAGTAAGTGTGTACCGGGTCTATATCGTTTTTGAAGACGCAGGTACCTGTGATGCGATGATACCCTAGCAGTACTCACTAGACCCTTGAGGAGCGTACACTTGCCGCGCGTCGTATCTCTTTATCGAGATTGTGGAACACGATGCCTGATGTAAATGTAGCTGTCGAACTTTTCATCAACGAAGTAAAAACACACCCCGTAAGGCATGTTAATCATGGTGACTATAAAAACCAAATCAAAAAAAAAAATTGCTTCGGAAAACTTTTGCGAAACTATTATTAAGAACTTCAATAAAAAATCTAATACCTATTTCCTTTTGGTAATTTGACTTTTATTTTTTACATACGTATTTATAAACTAAGTATGAAAAAACAATTTTTTCTTAAATATTTGGACGCGTGTACGATCCATCCCGTTAGTGACAAATAAGGGACTGTCGTTTTGGCCTATCAGCGTGAAAGTACGCATTGGAACTTTGATAAGACGCAGATTGAAATGACGCAGCGTTTAAAGTAGCATAGGTAGGGACCTATCTGCATATGTATGTTCAATACAGTCATTGATAGAGTTCGTCAATGGATGTGTATCCAATGATTGATACCAAACAGACTCCAGTTCCTGTTAAAAAGCTTTTGGAAGTTCCTATTCCATTTTATCAAACTTAGAACGAAGTCAAAGTATTAAATAGCCAACAGCAAAACATGGGATAAAAAAAACACTAATAAAAAGAGATGTATTTTATTCATAGTACATATAGTAAATAGCGTTCAATTAAAACAAAACTGAAATCAATTATTAGTAACAGAGTTTTAATTGCATGTATTTTACAGTGTACGTCATTATTTATTATTTTCGCGAGTTTCGTAAAATTACATAAAAAAGTAGTATGCTGTATTATTAAAAATGTAGTAATACGAATCGCAACAACTTATAACAAGCAAACTATCACGAGAAAACGGATCAGTCATAAACATCAGCACGCATTCAAAAACACGTGCTAACATCACTAGTAGTACCACATCCACGACCAGCGAAACACATGCAAACAAACATCGTAACACCTCACACAGTCATGTGACAGTTTGTTCTGTTTTAATTGTCCGCTATTTGAAAGATTACTTCTTGGAAATCGTGAATCTTCACAACCAGCAGCAAAATTACTGAACAAGGGACGGAAAATAGAGAACCTACCCTGGATCGTTCGGTACCTCGGCGGGGGACCCTACGGCGACGATCTCTTGGCCCTGGGGATCCATCATAACCACAAACTTTGTATATATTTAACAGACTCAAAACTACGACTACACTAAACGGTAAGAGTACACCGGGAAATTCTATCTACGCCACGACGAACGTACTAACCGGACTGAGCCACGATACTGGCAAAAATTCGACAGCCGGATAGTTGCAGAACGACAGGTTCGTACGTACCCGCTTGTAATCGCATCGCTTCGCGTACGCAAGCGTTTAAGCGAGCCGGCATCGGCCGTGATTGGACGCAATCCGTTGGCCGCCAGTGCGGTGTGACGCAGTACGCTTCTGTTGCATAAAGCGCGTTATGCCATCCTTCTTCCGCTATTGCTCCAAGCGATATGCACACGTAATAAGCCGATGCAGACGAAACAAGGAAGGGAATCACCTTCGCTTGCAGCGGATATGTGGGCCACGGTGCCAAAGATGCCGGCGGAATAACGAAAGACACGATGGCAACATTTGACATCGCAGCACGCGGTAGCTATTGCATCAAATGACGTCATCACATATGCATGTTTTGTACACAGAGTACTCCACAAAAACTAACACCATAACTCAAAATCAGTTGTTGATCACAAAACTGAACTACCTAACGCACTAAAACTACGCACTTTGATCACAATGAAAGAACTTTTAATACTTTCTCATTCAGCCCTTGGTACAATTTTACATTTTGACTCCTAAAAATATCAACAGGCCGGGCAGGTGTCAGGTATGGTACCTGGGCACTAGTATCCTAGTTCAGCGAGTCACTCTATAGCCAAATCGCCAGATGTGCAACGTAAGCAGCCGAGGCCGATCACTGCGACCACCCCACGACGTTCGCTCTTAAACCCACAACCAATCTCACTAAAAGCGAGAAAAGTTTGGAGCTTAGTAAAAGATATGTGGCAGAGATTCGCGAATCTGGCCTCGGCCCTTGTACTAAAAGGGATTGGACCCTGAAGTAGCTCTGCCGCGGCATGAGTGTTAGGGATCAGGGGAAGGTGGCAATCCCATGAACTCGGAGTGACTACTAATGCCGGAGTGTAAGTACGTAATTCCACCGGGAGAAGGATTGGTAACAAGAACATCGAACCAGTGATGGAGACTGCTACTATTACGGGAGACCTGGGAGCCCTAGTGGGAAATCTTCCTGCCTGCCCAACCTAAGGTTGGACTTGTAGCGACAGTGGCTACATTCCGCATGCTGGGGAAGAGGAGTAGACACTTACGTATATCCGCTCGAGTACCAAGTCTGACAAGTCTGGTAGGAATTAGATAGGGCATTAGAGGGTTCTAAGGGGGTCTTGTTCCCCTCCTAGGAGGTAACTAACTTTCCAATTATGGAAAGGATGTGGATGTGCAGGTTTAGGAGGTCGGTGTCGGCATGGTACTTGGCACTAATATCCGAGATTAGCAGACACTCGATAGCCAGATCGCCAGGTGATCACTGCGAGCACACCACACAATGTTCATCCTTAAACCCCCAACCAATCCTACTAAATGTGAGAAACGTTCGGAGTCTTAGTAAAATATGTGTGGCAGTGGTTTACAAATGTTGTAACTAAAAGTGGCTTGACGCTGGAATAACTCCACCGACGTGAACGTCAAAACTCTGGAGATGGTGTCGATCCCTTGAAGTCAGTATGGCTCTTCAATGCCGGAGAGCAAATAATTCGACCGGAAAAGGGAGTCATCTCTTGAACATGATACTACGGAAGGCCTGGAAGCTTCAGTAGGAAATTTTCCTGCCTGCTCCAATGCTTTAGGTTAGACTCGTAATGACGGTGGTTACATCCGATTGAATACTGTCTGCTAAACCTGGTGCGGATTAGGTAAGTCCCGTCGTCATCATAGGGTTCTAGGGGGTCTTACTCGCCTCCTATGAGGAACTGGTAAGAGTAACTTCAGTCTCCGATATAAAATTGCGCATTCACCTTGCCCACTTTGAAGACAATGAATTATTACGGTGAACTAACTCAGGCGACACGAGTGTATAAGGTCAGGAAAAAATTGCGATTCCATGAATCCGGGATAGTCTACCAGTGCCGAATTGCAAGTAAGTCCACCGAGAAGGGGATTCGTCCCTCAAACATGAGGCCAGCGATGAAGATTGGTACTATGTGAGGCTTGGGAACCCCAATGGAAAATTTTCCTGTCTACTCCGCTGCCTGAGGATGGACTTTCATTAACGACATTGGTTACACCTCGTATGTTGGCAGAGAGGAAGAGGCACCTCGACGTATATCTGCTCGGATAGTAAGTCTGCTAAGCCCGATATGGATTACATACGTCCCACTCGCATCAGAGGTTCCTAGGTGAAATTGGTGGCGATGGCTCCGACCTCCGCGTGCTGATTGAGCGTATCTCAATCCTTCGCCCATGGAGATCGAGGTGGATAAACCGAAAGGTAGGAATCACAACGTTCATGTTTGCCGAACGGCTTCGTTTGATGCTACGTAAGCGCGTCTTTTTGCTATGCAATTTGTTCATTCGGTAAATAATAAAGCATAATTTCATTGCACATTGAATGTTATTTAATAAGATGTAATTTATTATGACTTATTAATTTTACTGTATGTATCACGTAAAATATTAAACGAATCTTTGAATTTTACGATCTTATTTCTAAAAATATATGCGTATAAACGTACGTACTATTTAATAATTGTCTTATTTATGAATGTCTTTAATATATGGCATTATTTCACAATCCTTACTCAATTACTGTTTTTAGACCTAGACCTAGCTTTCAATGCCGAATGCATATTAATGACAATGAAATATAACAAATGCTTAAGCAGGTATTCATTTCGAAATTTACTTACATAGAACTACTAGATTGGTGCTATCACCTTATCGTTGCTTTTCAGTTAAGTTTTGGGTAGCAGATGGTCTATGTAAGTCTGGTATGCAAAACTTTTAACGAAAAGAGTCGAGTTAGTTCAATGACAACATTTTCCTTTCATTTTGGTTCGAGTCAGGTAATCCCCCATTTTATTTCCACCCGCTTATTCGTCCATTTCTAGTCCATAAACAGATAGGGCGCGACAATAAACGGTTCGAAACGGAGTCCCGGTTAACCCAATGCGAATCCCGATTCAAATCAACTTGAAAACGGGAATTGGATGACTAAAGAGCTGGTCGATGACAGTCACTTTGTTAAGTGAAATATGGGCGAGAAATTTTATTCTTTTCGAACTGAAGCGATATTCCTTCCACCTTCTCCTCTTACCTTCCTATACCTCTCCAAGAGCAGGAGGAAGATTACTTCCATTTCGCGAATTACCCCGACAGGCGAGATATCTACTACTCAGCAATTTTATTACGTAATGGATAAAGGAACTGTTCAGGGGTTAAGTATTTACTTTGTTCTCGTTTCATCCGACTTTTATGATTAAAGCTTTAACAGAAACTACTGTTATTCTGTATAATGAAAAATTTTGTAACTTTTTTATCATAAAATCCAAGTGAATATACATAATTCAAAAACAAGGATTTATATGATCCTTAAAATTAATATTAACAATAATAATAGCACAGAAAAGTAAGCAAACAATTACTGTCATCCATTACTGAAATAATAATTGTTTGTTTCTTCTTTACTTTTCATTGAAAACAATATTTGGTATTTAAAAGTATGAATTACTATTGGAAAGAAGATTCCACAAAATATTTTTCAGGAAATCCTAAAATCCAGTTTTGTAGTCGTTTTATTAAACTCAGAGCCATCAACTGGACTGAGTTTGAGATCAAATAGTCATTAATTCTAACATCCTAACAAACACGACATCATTTTTGTTGCGAGATTTTGGACAAGAAACACACACATGCTCTTTAATAAATGCAATGAATGAACATTTTGAACTCATCAAATTCTTCAATTAGGGTTGAACACTTTTGTTTACTTTAGTTGCCGAAGACCAAAAATGGTCCTTATCAATGCTTTCTCCTTGGAGTTATTTATTTATTTATTTATCTATCTTATAAGGCGAATATATTATACAGATCTGGTACACGCTCATAAATTGTGCTGGGCTGTCTTCGCCAGAAAGAAACAACCTTCGAAATCTGCTGCTTACTTTATTATTTAAATGACTACGATTTTTTCGTATCATTAGGAGACGGTGGTGTGGTTTTATCGGTATATGAACGTCGTATTTTACAGACGACTCGAAAGTGATCATAAAGTGATTCGCTTTGTCATTCTGGCGTTGGGTAATGGCTCCGGAAGTTACGACGAAAGAAAACGAGCTTTCGTCTTTTCGTCCAAGTAAGCTAAAACACGAAAATCTAACGGCCCCGTTGCCTCTAAATTTTGTCGAGTTATGGCGGTACGAACAAAATAATATACATACGTATGTATGTTTTTACAATGCAACGGATTTACGTTTAAAACGTAATCAAAATTTATTGTTGCGTACCTACTGCAAAATGAGAAATCGTATAATTCAGTTCTTTAAATGTATCAACAGATTTCAATGAGGATTATCGTTTTGAGGGATCTGAAAACTTAGTAAAACCACAGCTACAGACTTTATGCCCTCGCTCGTTTCCTGAGAATGCCAAACACATTAGTTGGCGAAACGTCGAATGAACTCCATCGGTATTCTCATCGAAAAAAAAAACAACCCTATAAGCTGATTCAAGATTTTGTTCAGGGATTTTTCGTTACAAATAAAAATTTTGATAAAACTTTAGTTTAATATATTTTCTTAACAAGCAGGCCCCTCTTTTCCATTGGGCACTCTGGGCAAGTGCCCAGGGGCCCACGATCAACGGAGGCCCCCTATATATTTCCTGCCAGATCCACCCGCCAACCAAAAACCGATAATTATTTTAAGAAAATTAATTAATAATTGCTGTTAGAATGTTTACTTGCATAATCGCTTTTGCATGCTATAAACGCGAGCATACCTAAATTAAAGTAGAAATACCTTACTTCCCATAAGTGATATCCCAAGCGTGCATCTAAAACAGCGATTGAGCTTATACAAGGACACTAGTTATTGTTGACATTGTTTTTCGCTTGATAACTCCAAATCCCGAGACAAAGTTGCAAAGAATTTGCTGCTATGAAGATGTTAACGAGAAAGAGTTAGAAATAGAATGTCTATTTTTGGCAAACTAATAGTATTCCAGAAGTTTTGATAAAAAACCGAGTTGGAAACACATTTCCAAATGTAGAAATTGCATTGAGAATCTTTTTAAACATGATGGTAACTAACTGTAATGGCGAACGCTCCTTCTTTAAACGGAAAAGAATAAAAAATAAGTTAAGACGAACAATGCTTCAAGAAAGATTGATCAGTCCATAGAATGGTATATCTCAAAGACAAAGAGTTTGAACAACTAGTTGACGATTTTGCATATCTGAAAACTAGAAGGGTGCCTTTTCAAAAAGCCTTAAGTACCAACCTGAGAATGATATTAGAGTTACTTTTTCGAGTCATATTACAATTATCTATTCATTTATGTGAATGTAAAGAAATAAATAACAAACCAAAATAATTCTCTGTCAAAGCTGTAGGGGCCCCGGTAGGCTTATGTGCCCAGGGCCTCAAATAGGTAATAAGACGGCCCTGTTAACAAGTACTTAAAGCGGCACTTAGGAATTTTTAAATATGTGAATTATCCTGATTATTTCTACCCATTTTACTAACGAGGAACGAGTAAATAAAATTGTCTAAAAAATTACGTAAATATGACTCGGTCCTAGCCATTTTCTTTCAAACAGAAAAGACTAGTAAAGTTTAACCAAACAAAAACAATTATTATTATTCAGATTTTAAATCCAAATTTCTACGATTTTCCCTTCAATGATCTCACAACCACACGGACACCATTTGACGTTTATTACGGAAACTATTAATGTTTAGTTAAGCCTTTTTTAGTTTCTAAATTCATAAAGTATAAAACCAATATATTAGACATATTCTGTGTAGGTACGAATGTTTATATGTACAATACATTCCCACACCATGAAACCATAAACGCTGTTAATAATATTTAAAAGATAAGTTATGGTAATAATGAAAAGTGATGTTATGATTTAATTATTTTTTATCCAAAAGAATGTATCTTACCTTTCGGGCTTGTTGGGAAAAGTATCATATATCTTGTTAACAAAAACTATGTAGTGACCACTCACGCTTTAAAATTTGAATAACTTTTTTATGAAATCGCTAATTATAGGAAAGAAATTTCAAGAAATAGTTTTACATAAAATTGTTCATTGATAACAAACACTGAAAATTATAAAAATAGCCGAATATAATTATAATTACGATTTTTAGAAATGTTTCCAGGCGCCATGCTTAATGTCAACGACGAAATAGGCCCACTTTTAAGACCGATAGTTTTAATATTTACCAACTTAAATGGGTTCCTATCCACAATGTTATATTTCCCTAATATTTTATTTATTCAAATTGCGATCATTTTTAACCTAGCTTACCAACTCTGTTACATTTTCCTAATATTTTATTTACTCAAATTGCGATCATTTTTCAATTTTACTTTGGAAAAATTAATACATTCTATCTTTTAAGAATACACAGCATTTAAAACAATAACGTCACATTTTAAAACTCGAAGTTAAAATCTAATAGCGAACCTGCAGTTTGTGATATCCCTAATCAACTAACACTATTTTTTGTACAACAAATATAAAATATAAAGGAACGGCAATAATATTTGTTTCATTATTTTCCTAGTATTTTCACTTTCACTTTCACTTCTAAAATTAATCAAAGTAATTTATAAAAGTATTTTCAGCCAATAATGTTTACTTGCAACGCTAAAATTAAACAAATATGTTCAAAAATTATATTGATATTGATTAAACTAATAATTATAATGTTTTTTATACATCAATTTCATTTTATACTAAACACCACAATATTTATATACTTTTTTATTTATTAATACTGTATTAAACAATACACATGTAAATAACTGGAATAACTATAAATTTTAGGTTTAATATAAATGTAAACAACTTCAAAAGTTTAAAACTGCATGATATAAAGCTGTATATGACTTAATTATAGAAGAATAAATAAAAGTTCTTATTCTTTACTAGTTAAGTATTTGAAGGGCTTGGGGGTCGAGATCCAACTGTAAAATCTTTGTACTGAGAAAATACACAAATCTAAAAAGAAAAAAAGCAATTTAAAATTTTATTACAATTATAACGAATCTGAATAATTAAATATTTGTAATAAAAGAAACTGGTTACTTAAAATAAATTTACATAAATCATCTACAATTAAAATCGCAGTTCACACCGGTTGTTTCAGATTAACTAAAATTATACAATTAATACATATTGCTCAAACTAAAAGTGAATGTAAACGTTAAAAACGTGCAAATGTGTATAGTAATACAAAGTACCTTATCCTTAAGCTGCTGACATAATTGCAAACCAACAGTGAACAGTACAAGTACTTCATTTAACCAAGGAACTGAACATTCTGCTTGAACAGAGTCAAACTTCATTTTTCCATGATTATCACTCAATTGATATACAGCAAAAATCAACTTATGACTTTGTAAATAGAAACTTATAGCCAGATCTTCTGACAGATTAGGTGACAACGATTTCTAAAATAAAATATATTCCAAAAAAAATAAATTATTTTGCTACTAGGTAACTACCATATTTCTACTTTTAATTAAATCATCAATTGCTTTCTTCTTTGGAACTATAAGACTTGTACGACCCCTCTGCAAACTGCCCAATATATTGCCCAAAATGTGTAGCACTTCATCTGAAGATCTGAAATTTGTGGAAACAGTAACATTTGTAATATTTATTTAATCATTATAAAATTCAGTGGGATTTAAACTGTTTTACATATTATGAGACAGTATCAAAAGATAGTATCTATCATTTGAATTGACCTAATGTACAATGAGAATAAAATTGAAGGTACAGCAAACAAGATGAAATATTAGTTGCTCACTTGAATCTATAACTTTTTCCTACATCATCTATATGGTATATTGCCTGTTGCAAATGATTTGCAGCATCTTGAATTTGTTGCAACTTCCATGGATATTCATTTTGAATTTTTGTGCGAACAACATTTGATTGTGACCTTTGAACTTTAAAACTTATTTCCTAAAAGTACAACATCCACTGATACTACTATTACAGGGAAATGCCTCATTTTGTTTCCTTACTGCATGGGTAATGCTATCTCCAGTGAGGGTGATAACACACTTTAATTGATCAGGGGGTACTGAGAGAACAAATTTATCCTGTTTACTAGAATTGTCATGTCCATATAACTGAACTGGAAACCTTCTAGCACATTCCTGCAAAATTAAATTAGGTTTCTGGAAGACAAACAAAAGATCTTACCTACAACAAGTATTTCATGTATTTGATCAAGAGCAGTATGAACTTCTTGATGAAGCACCCATTCGAATTCTTTTTGCTGTAATTATACACATCATTAAATGAGTTTCATGCGAAAATTACCGAATTTTACCAAGTTTAGAGCTTCTTGATTTTCACAATCTGCCATTTTATAAAAATGTACGATAATACACTTGAAATATACTGTGCACTTGAAAGACTACTAACACCACTTAATAAATTTAACAATAAGTAGCTAAAAAACTGTCTTGCATTGGACTATTTATTTATTAACTTAATAAATATGACCTTATACTGTTGCATAACCTAAAATATTGACAGTACATTGACAAGTCGAATGTGGAATGTGAAAATAAAAAATAAAAGTTGAATTTGAGGTCTATCCTGCCATCTAATTGTATTTTAAGAGAATTAACTAGTGAGGTGGGTGATGATCACGATAAACAGTACCTACGTCAAAACTACATGTCAAATAGAAATAAAGAGAAATAAATTAAGACTCAGAAAAAGAAAAGTTATTACTACAACTTGCTGCTAGTTATCCATAATTAAGTATTATATAATTAAAAAAGAGAAGCAAGAAGGACGCCAAGTCAGGAATTGCAACTGCAAGCTTTGAAGAATATCTATAACCTATCAAAACTAAAACATTTTACTTGTTACATCTTATTTAGTGTAATAAGGGAGTTTTTTTAAAGATTTAAGAAAGAGGAAGTGATGATTATATTTCGTTTACCTCTGGGATAATTATCCTCTTGTAAATTAAAAATGATTCCACCACTTGCTCCTGGACAATCTTCTGAGGAACAGCAAAGTGATATGGTTGGATGGGTAAATAATTTCGTATTTAAATAAATATTATGAGTTTAACATTGTCCCCTTTTTAGCAAAATACCTTTAACATGCGGCAAGTAACTCTTATGAATATTGCCACTTCTCATTTAGGATCCAGAAATGGTAACAGGCTAAACTTTTTAAGAACTGGTTGTATAAAAAGTTCTGCTAAATCCTTAGATATTTTACGAAGGAATTTACAAAAAGCCATAAACAAAGATATTGATAATGTCATAAAAAAGTATTTGGATGTATGTCCTCTTTGTAGTATACAATGGCCACAATAATTCTATTGTATAAAAATTATTTTAGAAGTTCTTTCAACCTGCCATAAGTAACATTAAAATGAATTTAGGAAATGACAGTGTAGATGATGAGTTAGTTAAAAATGTATGTAGGACAATGCTAGATGAAGCCAAGGCAATGTACAGTTCAGCTTCAGTTTTTTCACGTGATAGTTCACCATATGATTGCAGTGATTCTGATGCAGGCAGCTTAACAGAGCTTAAAAATTGTAGTTTGGTAAGCTTAAATAATTTGCTAATATATTTAAACATATTTTTATTAATTTAAGCTCTTTTGCACCATTATTTCCCTTTTTCCATGTTTTTAATTTTTCTGCATTTAACAGTCTGCTCAGTATAAATCATCCCATTGTTTGTTTATTTCATTATTGCCTCACTATTACTTTTTTAATATAATTGTATTATTCAAGAGCCCATTTTCATTCAAAAGAAAAGAGTCTGATACAGAATCAGAAGCAAGCTCAACCCACTATACAAAAAGGTGTAAAACAAGAGTGACAAAATTCACTGAATCTCCTCTGCTTAAGCAAGCCATTAAACGAGATACAATTAAATGGACTGCAGACCGCATTAATGAAAATACACTATTTATTATGGGTGCCAGAGCAAATAAAGTTCTAGGATTTGGACAAACACGTGGACGGTTATACATTAAACATCCTGATCTCATTAGGTAATGTTTAATATCATTTCCAGTTAAAAGGACATAGTAATTTTATATATATATTATTTAATAATCACAAATAAATAATTACATAGGTATCAGGGTGACCAGGAAGATAAAGATTGGCTTTCTTCTAAAAATTTAATGCCACCAAGTGGTGGAAAAGCTTATGTAATGCTCTTTGAAGATATACAAGAGTTGACTGCCAGAGATGAATACAGGAACAGCCCCAATGTTCAACTGCACGAACTAAAAGGATTTGAGGCTCCACACTTTATGCTACAGAAAATAAAGGTAGGTAATATTACGACCTCTATAAACAACACTTATAATATTTCTTTTTATTCAGGCATTTCTTAATCAGCTTCAATTTCAAAAAATGCAAAATCAGGCGAACTACGAACTACTTGAGCTTCAAACAAATCATTGCCTCACACCTCTAAATAATCCTATTGATTCCGCTCCATCGACCCCGTCTGATACTCTGCAAATGTTGGAACTACAAACTGTTAACGGTCATGTGACAAAACATGTTGAAACAGGAAGTTTTATTCAGATTCCTGATATTAGTCCGGAATCTAATGCTTCATTTTTATCTGTTTCCCTTTCCCAAAGTCCATTGCAGTCGGTTAATGTGGGTTCGAATGTCCTCGTTAACGTTATTAATTCAAACGATATCAGTAACAGCATGGTGGTCACATCAACTATGTCCAATCATAACTCAGAAAATTCGCAAGGCTTTTAACAGTCCATTTTTTTTTAAGTTAAAGTGTTTAGGTGAATATTAGCAGCTATTTTTTATCCTGCTGACACTTAAATTAATCACCAAAATTAATTATAAAAATAAAATAATTGGCTGCTTGTAAATTAGTGCAATTTTCAGTATAATATTTTACGGATAATTCTAAACAGTTCTAAATTCCTTAAAAATTTGGGATTTAGATCTTGAAGGGTAATTAATTCATACTCTGTCTATGGCTATTTTGGCCACAAATATTAACAAGAGCCCTGGTTAAAATTAAAATTTAATCCGTAATGGTTATTTTGGATTTTTCTGTTTATTAGAACTGAGTAACAACTAATAACATTGTATATTCCCTTTTTGTTTATAAGAGTACTACTCTGTTGGAATTATAAATGTTGATAACTGTCTATATGTCTATGTTGTAAATAAAGATTATGTATATACAATACCCTATTGCAAATCACATATCAGAATATTGTGATGCAGACTGCTGAAATTTTAAAACATTTTGCGAAACCTACTGTCTCAATTTTCTCATATAACATCAAAAGATATCAAATGTTTAAAATTATAATAAAATTGTAATTGCTATTTTTTTCAGCATTGAGAATTTAATATTAATTAATTCGTTTTATACTTTGCCTCAGCAGTCTGTTCACTTACCAGACAATAGAAGAAATTGCATTTCAATATGGTCAATAAATTAATTGGCCAAAGTGTATGTAAATAGCAAATATTTTCACATTAGTTGGATATCTAAATGATATTGGGTTGTTTCAAATATTGCTTAAAAGTGTAATATGTTTTTATTGTGATTAAAACATTAACGTACTTAAATTTAGAAAAAACAGTTTCTTGCAAAACTATTTTATTTATTTTGCAATATACTGGTTTGTGTTATTCAGTGTAAAATCCACTCTATGTAAATAGCATATTATTAAACAACGTAATTCACGTTTGTGATGTCGATTTTCTAGTCATTTTCTTTCTCGAATGTCAATTTAGAAAAAGTAGTTTTTTGTAAAAAAAAAGTTTTATAAAATGGTTACTGTAATCAAATGAAGAAAATAAATAGTGTTAATTATATATTTTTGTTATCACTTGCCAGTTCTGTATAACTTTCATTACTGGTTAAACTATTGACCTTTTAGTGCAATACCTGCATAAAACTATTAATAGTTTATGTTATTGGCTCAAAAAAAACCTATTAATTTAAGTAATCCGTTAAATTGTCATTTATAACATGATTCAGAGAAAATAAAGTTACTTCTACATGTATATTTTATAAAAAGTATGCAATTACATTCCTTCACCCTCATTCTCTATACACATATTTCAAATCAAACACCAATTTACAATTAATAAAAAAAAGGCACATATTAATACATTGATACGTCTTTATAATACCCCTCAGACTTTAATAAATTTGCATAAAGACTCCAACCAAAATTTAAATAGAAATGCTACTGTTCAAGGTCTAGAGAGTTCATAAAAACAATAGGTTTTATGAATTACCTTTGATTATCAAATTTTGATTTGAATCCTCAAGAAAATTATAAAGTAAATGCAATTAATAATGTAATATATCCAAAAGCACCTAAGTACAAACAACAAAGTTTTAGAGCTGACTCTGCAAATATTTATGTTTTAATGTCATACTAACATCAAACACATTTATTTTTGGAGTTTTTTTTGAAGATTTTCAGCCAATTTATTAATAAAATCGAACGTTTCGTAATAATCAGACCTTTGAACATTATTCATTCCCTTAATACAAATCGCAAGATCTTTGGTCATAATACCAGATTCTATAGTTTCAACACAAACATCTTCAAGGGTTTTAGAGAATCTTTCTAAGTCTCCATTGTTATCTAACTTTGCTCGGTGTAGGAGACCTTGAGTCCAAGCAAAAATTGAGGCAATTGGATTTGTTGAAGTTTCTTGACCTTTTTGGTATAATCTATTAAGAATTTAAATTATTATTAATAACAGACTAAATTTTTATTATTTTTACCTATAATGACGGGTTACTGTTCCATGTGCTGCTTCAGATTCAATGGTCTTTCCATCAGGGCAAATAAGTACTGAAGTCATTAATCCCAAAGAACCATAGCCCTGTGCTACAGAATCAGATTGAACATCTCCATCATAATTCTTACATGCCCACACAAAACCTCCCTCTGATTTCATTGCATAAGCAACCATATCATCAATCAATCTATGTTCATACCAAATGCCTTTGGCTTCATACTGTGATTTATACTGTTTGTCATAGATTTCTTGGAATATATCCTTAAAACGTCCATCATACTTTTTGAGAATGGTATTTTTTGTACTTAAATACAAAGGATAACCTCGATTTAATGCATATTTCAAAGAAGAATGGGCAAAGTCAATGATAGATTCATCAGTATTATACATTCCCATTGCCACTCCAGGACCCTTATATTCATGAACGGTGTACTTAACTGATTCTCCAGAGGAAGGAGTATAAATTAATTCCAATTTACCTGGACCAGGTACGACAAAGTCAGTGGCTTTATATTGATCAGCATGAGCATGACGGCCAATGATAATAGGTTTAATCCAGCCAGTAACTAAACGGGGAATGTTTTTGCAAATAATCGCTTCTCGAAATACAGTTCCTCCCAAAATGTTCCTAATAGTTCCATTAGGAGATTTCCACATCTGTTTTAGCTTAAATTCTTCAACTCTCTTTTCATCTGGGGTTATGGTGGCACACTTTATACCCACATTGTATTTTTTTATGGCTTCAGCACACTCAACAGTGACTCGATCTTCTGTTTTATCTCTGTTCTCTATTCCCAAATCAAAGGTATGAAGTTCAATACTCAAAAACGGAAGAATCAATTTTTCCTTTATAGAATCCCATATAATTCTGGTCATTTCATCTCCCAAGATATCAACAACTGGGCCTGCTCTAATTTTACTCATTTTATTTTTTTTTTAAGGTTACTCCTATGTTCTACAAGACTTTTAGGGATGTACAACTAGCTATTTAGCAAAGCTAAAGGCAGAACAATTGTGAAACTAAAAATGACAAAAAATATAGTTTTAGTTTAATCTTTATCACTAACGAAAGCACGACGTTAATCGCATAAATTAACTTTCTCTTCTAAATGAAATTTCAAATTAATAATCAAAATGGAAAAATTAAACTTTGTACCTTAAAATCACTATCACAGCACACACACCAAGACCTGTTTACATTAACAATCTAATTATCTAATGATCAAAGTTCAAGATTTATTATTATTATCAGTTGACAGTGGTTGTTTACATCCTTCTAGTGAAGGACAACCGCAAGGATTACTTCTCATAGTAGTACTTGTGCAGATAAAAATATTTATTAATTTATGAAAAATTAAGATAATACGGGGAAAATCGAAATTATATTTTTATATTATTAAATTAAAGATTATGAGCATTTCAAGTAATTGTAGTGCTATTGATGACTGTTCAGGTAACGTCAGGTAATACTTGTACTGAGCTGTTGTACTCACGAGCCGCCGCTGTTGTAAAGTTTATTTCTATTTTTATTTTTTTATTAAAATATTTTACATATAAATTAAAAAGAATACTATAATAAAAGCCAATGATAAAAATCACTCTGTTTATGAAAATTACTTGTCACAGTCTTCATCACTATCAAGGTCCTTTAATTTTGATAGAAATACAGTCATCGAAATCTTTTTTCTTTTACCTTTACACATTTTTTTAGCTTTTAATTGCCGTTTTCTAATTTTCCCTATATTTGCAGATGAGCAGTCTCCAAACGAAAGCACCCGTTTATATTTTCTGCTACTAATAGTTGTTATATTACCACTTTTGCTTGCAACACTATCTTCAAATATAGTTTCTAAAGCAGATGATAATCTTTTTGCATTTTTATTTGTATAGTACTTTTTTAATTCACTAAAATTTGAACTATCAAGAAAATTTTTAGTTGTGGATAATGTACGTTGTTTATCCATTTCTCTAAGAGGGGCAATTTTTTTTCTCAGTGACCTTCTGGGTGCAACTGGATTGGTTTTGTTTGTATTATTTCTGTCCATTTCGGCTGAATACTTTTTATCAGATTCATCTTTACAGTTTGAAGTTTGCGACACATTTTCAAATGCTGCTAATTGTAAAAAGATATTTTCTCCACTTAAGTTTAAATCAGCCATATCGGCATCTATTTCCATATTCCTTAATCTACAAGAATACATCAAAATTTGTATTTCCTTCAGCTTATTAAGACTGTAAATAATCTATAAAATATTAGATTGAAAAAGACTTACCGATCCGTTAAGGCATTAACTAAAGCTTTTAATAAATTATTTTGTTTATTTATATTTTCATAAAATACTGACATAACCTATAATTTATATTGTCCTATTTCGTTCATATTATCCATAGCAATAAATAAAAACTGTAATTTAGAGAAATATACCAAATTTATAATAATTATTGTGGAATGTACAACCCATTTATTAACAATTTTAATTTAACTTTTTTTACAAAGTTATAAAGCTACGAAAAATACCGATATAAGGCGAATGGTAGTTTATTAATGTGACAGTCAGCTGTTAGTTTGTTTCTAATAATAAAAATTGTGAAATTTAAAAATATTTATACATTAACAAATAATAAGTTTGT